AAATACTCAATTATCTTAGGAAAAGATCTATTATTATTTATGTTAATGATGTCAAGTTTACTATTGGTATCATTTACATTCGATTTACATAATTCCCTTTTAAATTCCGCAACGTATTAGTTTGATGTCAAAAGAGACTGAATAAACTTTTTCAAGGTTGAAGCGTAGCCCTTGAATAGAGAACTAGAATCTACGCAAATCAATTCTACCTTTTTTTGGAGGTTAGCTAAAAGAGTGATCGTGGGTATTCTTTTCGTGATAATGACAAAAAGAAATATGTTGATACAATCTATTGTATGTCAACCTAAAGTCGTTTAATACTTTGAAGTATTGCTATTGCAATAAATAATAATAAAATGATATAATTTTTGAAGTTATACTTCTTTAGGCGCGTTATGAAAAAATGATGAGAGTGAAATTTTAAGATGCGCGCGCATCACTGTAACACAAAATTTTAACAGCATAATATAATATAATAGTTGGTCGCTAATGCGACCAACTTCATGCTGTTACTTTTGTGTTTACCGCACATAAAGAAAATCTACCAAGAAAATAGAAATAGAATCTCTATTTAGTGGGTGCTAACGACTGCATTGTGAAGGCCTATCAAATGTATTTATTAATCTGGAACAACGGAACCAAAGCGCGATTCAGGAGACTACAGCGCCATCTCTTGACCATTGGTGTAGTAGAACCAAAAACCACATCTTTATTTTTTGTATTAAAGTAACAGTTATAGGTATTCATATTTATAATATCAAAAGTATTTATTAATCTGGAACAACGGAACTAAAGCGCGATTCAGGAGACTACAGCGCCATCTCTTGACCATTGGTGTAGTAGAACCAAAAACCACATCTTTATTTTTTGTAATAAAGTAACAGTTATAGGTATTCATATTTATAATATTTATCCACATGTTTCTAGTTTGTATATTCGGAATACGTGTTTGAGTTTCATACAAGTGCAAATCACATATTATGTTCTAATAAATTATATTCAGTAGCGATTTTAATTGAATATTTTGATTATTTATTTATTTTTTCAAATTAAAACTGAACTTTATTGACTGTGTCCTTTTCCAGACTTTTTATTAATTTATTGTAATTAATTATTTGCATGCAATTAAAAACTAATTTTAAACGATGCCAAAGAAGGATAACTTCTCACGCGCCTACATAAGTACACGCACCCATTTTTTTAAGCATCTCTACTTGATGTTTAAATCTAAAGAAAATATAACTAGAAAAAATTTCATGCGGGCCAGGCAACAGACGGAACTCGAACCCGCACCCTTCGCTATCCGGGCGAATGCACTTACCAATTATGCTATCTCGGCCCTGATGGCCGCGTCGAAATTCTTCTACTGTTTTCTTCTGTGAGTTACCTACAATGCGAAGAGATGGCGCTGCCTTGCAGCTTAAGAATGGCTAGAAGAATTTCGACTCGGCTATCAGGGCCGCGGTAGCATAATTGGTCAGTGTATTCGCCCGAATAGCGAAGGGTGCGGGTTCGAGTCCCGTCTGCTGCCTGTTTCATGTGGATTTTTTTCTAATTATATTTTTTAGATTTAAATAAAAAGAAGGTTTTTTTGTTAATTTTACATTCTAAAAAATGTTCCTCGAGCTAAGCAGCCTTGATTTAAAATACTCTTGCAAGCATTTAAGACTTAATTTAAACAAAAATCTCAGAAAGAAAATGAAAAGGAAAACACTTTTAATTACGTCAATTTGAGGTTAAAATTTCGAACAATTATCTGTCAAATTCAACTTTTCGTTCGAAGGTTTTGTGAATTAGAGTAGGCTTGGAGAATTTAATTGTCAAACTATTTCCGGGAGAACGAATTTTTTGAAATGAAAAATAAACAGAGTGAGGAATTTAGATCGAAATTTCGTTTTTCTTTGAAATAGAGTAATAATAATAATAATTTATTCATAAATGATTTGGTTTACAATAGTTAGTGGCAGGAGTCCCCTTTTAAGCAAATCAATGCTTGTGCCAGGCGACTCCGCTCCTCCATTACACATCCATCTATATATATAATAAAAATGAAACCCGTTTTCCGTTGTCACGACATAACATGAAAACGGCTTGACCGATTTGGCAGTTTTTTTTTTGTAGTTTTCTAATACTCTGTACAAGGTTCTTACGGAAAAAAATATATAGAAAATCTCTCAGAAAGATTGAAAAATATAACGTAACGAATGTCAACGTCATTCAATTTAAAACAAAAAATCTGTGGTAATCTGTGACACCACATCGATAACCGCGCTGACAAAATGACGGTTCAAATTGAATAGGTACTCATACATAAGATAGGTCAGCTATACAAAATAAAGTAGTGCATCAAAGCTACGTTAAGGCGGTACGAAGTTCGCCGGGTCAGCTAGTATCTTTATATATATAATTCTTCTGTGAGTGTGTATGTCACTGAACTTCTCTTAAACGACTGGACCGATTTTGATGAAATTTTTTGTGTGTGTTCAAGGGGATCTGAGAATGGTTTAGATTCACAATTTTGTCTGCTGGACAATGTTTTTTTAATTCATTTTTTTTATGGCGGTACGAAGTTCGCTGGGTCAGCTAGTTTTATATAAATTTTAGAAATTTAAACAATATTTTTTTATTCTATTTAGAACTTAGATATAAGTTTGCCTATGCACGAATACGTGTATGTATGTATGTTTGAGCTTGAGCGTATGTGTGTGTTAAATAAGTCTTTGTGTGGAAGTAGACCTTCAGCCCTTTAATACCTTCGTTGTTGGACTTCCCTATGACACAATTTCCCTATTTACAGAATACGGGAGAAACAGCCATGTTGGAACACGCGGGCCATGTGCAGATCGGTGATTTTAAACGTCTGCAACAGCATCTGCCACCGACGACCAAAACGGGCCTTTCGGAGCACGGAGCTCGAGCTAGTAATTTTTCGGTCACCCATCATATGACAAACCACTGCTAAAATTGCTTAACTTTTACAATCGCATACCGAACGCACGAATTACTGCTCCATCGAGCTCGTAACCTACGTGTTGTTATATCGACACTGATTGACAAGAATTAAATCTTCAAAAGAAAACGATTTTTAAGAGGTATGGCGGATTTTTCGACTCGACTTCCAGGCCGAGTGGAAAGTAACCTCTATCTCTTAGAAGACACAGTAAAATAGCACTACCTTTTGATGGCATTGTGTTTCTGTCAGTTTTTTTTTTTTTTGAGTGTGTATGCTGTTGGTCGCAGATGACCTTTACAGCGTCACCGGGTTTGGGGACGGCGAGATCCTAAGGGGACCTCAAGCCGAGAATTGGCGAGTGCCTCTAGAGGTATTCCAGCCGGATGGCGTCTCCCCACAGAGGGAGTCTCCTCTCCGTCTGGAGCCTCCAGACCACTCGAACCTGAGGTGGGTCGGCTCAACTAGAGGGCGTCTCTGAGACTCGGACCTCGGCTCTAGTTAGCAGTTGTCGTGGGGGGGAAGAGGTATAGCGGATTTTCTGACTCGACTTCCAAGTCGAGCGGAAAGTAACCTCTATCTCTTAGAAGACATAGTAAAATAGCACTACCTTTTGGTGGTGTTGGTGTTTCTATCGGTGTGTCAGGTTCCAGGGTTCCACGAGGTAGGGGATTAGGTCAGGGTAGGCAATGGTGCGAGAGATATCTTTGGTGTCGCAAGCGTCTTTAGACCATCAGACGGACCATACGCTTGTTTATCACCTTTTTAACACAATAAAGTTAATTGGGCCTTAATTAATTTATTAATAACCTTCTGGAGAAATATCGTCGTGTGAGGCGGGTCGTTCACTTCCGTAAAATATGGTTGAGCGAAGCGATGGCGGGTTCATGCGTCATGCTCGTGAACGGGTGCCGCCAGCGGAGATGAGTGTGCCCTAACTACTTTGATATTTAAGATGTAAATGTTTAATTACACCTATTATAAATAACTCTGTTTGTATTTATACTGTGTGTCACAGCAATCAAAATGCAGGTGAACAATTAATTTATAATTTCACATTGTGTAATGAAAGGTGACTTCACTCTGTAAATGATAAAACAGGGAGAAAAAAAACAGCTCTTGCTGAGTTTCTTGCCGGTTCTTTTCAGAACAAGGTCTCCCCCGTATATTTACGAACCGACGGCGTAGCTTCTAGACATTCATATGTGCTTGTAACAGCCTAAACTGAATAAATGATTTTGATTATGATTATTTTTAACCATCACTTGGAGATTTACGCAATGAACACCTCTAGTAATTTCATTTTCATTGCTTCTTACAAATGAAGTGGTTTTGTTAAATCACTCAATCGAGTTTCAGTAACGAACCGAATTGACACAATTATACATTTAAATATTACTAATTAATTATGTATTTGAACCAATAAATTATACAGCTGTATGTCACTGGTGCTACTAAGTAAGCATAAGTTCTTGAAGTAAAAATAAAACTTTAAATCTTCATGATAAAGTTACTTCAAACAATAACGTTAATTATTTTTTTAGCAAACTTTATAATGACATTGCAACACATTAGGATGAAATATATTATCTTAATAATGTGGCTCAAGCCACAACTTCGATTGTAATTGAGAAAAAGTTTACGCTAATAGGGTATTGACGTTTAAATAATATAACAAAATAACCATATCACTCGAGACTTAAAACCAAATCTACGGTGTAACAATGAAGAATAATCACTGGAGTAAAAGGTTTTCGTACTAGGAAATAGTCATAATCACTATTCCAATAACTATAATCAAAAAACAAAAAACAACTTCAAACACAATAGTTTATAGTCCCCATTAAAAAACTTTCCCGGAAAAACCAATTTACACCCCAATCCATGTTGACACTTCGGAAAACCCGGCTCCTATATATTTAGTCCAAAAAAAACGAAAATTTTCAAAAAACAAGGTTTTATGTACTGCCCAAAGACTATAAAAGACATTTAAAAAAGTTTTTATCAATAAATCGTTTGTATTTAAAAAGTATAAATATGAAAAACTTACCGTTCCAATTTCGAAAAGCCGGCCGGTGTCTACAACCGCCGGGTCGTGCGACAGACTCGGAATATAGACTACCACTGCAGTACTATCGACCCAAAGCCGTAAACGAGCGTAGAACGGCAGCACGCGATGTAAGCTTAGCTCTTCAAGACGTCTGTCGTCCTATATTGCAGAAATGCTATACGACGGAAGGATGGATAATGTTCTAATCTTTAATCCATAATTCAAACATAATTAGAGAAACAAAGGCAAAAGGCAATGTATCAAATTTTATAATATTGCTAGCTGTCCCAGCGAACATCGTACCGCCATAAAAAATAGTGGTAGAAGGGTGAAAATTTAGGGTTGTATGTATTATTGTATGTTGTATCATAAAAAAATGGATGTACGCGCGTGAGAAGTTATACTTCTTTAGCATCATTAAAAATATTTTTTAATTGCATGCAAATAATAAATAATTATAATAAAATAATAAAAGGACTGGAAAAGGATAGTTAACACAGTCAATTAAGTTCAGTTTTAATTTGAAAAATTAAATAAATATTCAAAATATTCAATTAAAATCACTACTGAATTTAAGTTATTAGTCCATATGTAATTAGCACTTGTAAGTAACTAAAACACGTTGTGTCTATATAGAAACTAGAAACATGTGGATAAATATTATAAATATGAAAACAATGATCAGAGGCGACGAGCGTGCCAACATTGTTTTTGACAACGCGATCATCTTATGGAGCTCCGTGGATCGTTCAAAGTACCTTTCGAACAGATGTCTAATAATGGTGGATTATTAACCACTTAGTGGTTAATAATCCACTATTATTAGACACTAACATTCATAACGCGCCCGCGGCCAACTTCATGGTGTTACTATTGTGTTACAGTGATGCGCGCGCATCTCGAAATTTCACTCACATGATTTTTTCATAACGCGCCCGCGGCCAACTTCATCCTGTTATTTTTGGGTTACAGTGATGCGCGCGCATCAAAAAATTTCACTCTCATCATTTTTTCATAACGCGCCTAAAGAAGTATAACTTCAAAAAATGTAAAAAAAATATTCAAAAAATAAAAATTAAATGTTGGGGTGATGTAAGCTTAGCTCTTCAAGACGTCTGTCATCCTATATTGCAGAAATGCTATACGACGGAAGGATGGATAATGTTCTAATCTTTGACCAACAATTCAAATATAATTATAGAAACAAAGGCTGGGACAGCTAGCAATATTATATCAAATACTAGCTGACCCAGCGAACTTCGTACCGCCACAAAAATAGGGGCAGGTGGTAGAAGAGAAAATTTAGGGTTGTATGTATTTTTAATACCACAATATAAAAAAAAATATTGTGTGTGTCAGCTCCGACGCACGACTGGAGTTTACTCCTTAAGTTCGATAGTCTAACCAGACGCAAAAAGAGTTTATTTAACAAATTAATGAAAATAATATATAAATATATATTTATTCATTTCATATACATTTATTATAACTAATCGACGAAATATTTTACATTAAACTTTTTACAATAGTCAATTTCAGATGTGCATAAATATATCATTAGGAATGTTGATAAATTATGTAATTATTATTATCAGACTATTATATTTTTTTTAAATTTTCATTAAATCAACATTGTCTGCATTATTAATTACAGTGACAAGTGGTTTATGGTAACTAAAATAAGACACATGGACGTTCGTAGATACGTAGTTCACGAATCTTGAAAATACCGCATCAATGGTTGTACCATACCTCGTTGTCCCCATTGCTCTATCAGAAACAATATCTAAATTCAGTTCAGATTTAAAAAAAAAAATATAAATGTCAATCCGTCATCTTCGTTTGTCAAAGTTGCGCGACATCGAATGCGCACCACAAACGTAACGAGGTTATTCATCGAAAGATTTTACTCCTCACATTTTTCTCATACCGGGCCCCTTATATATGCAAATCGATTCTTAAAGAGTAAACTCCAAAAATCGGTCAGGCTGTTTCGGAGGAGTATGGTAACTAACATTGTGACACGATAATTTTATATACATAAGATTATAATATTGCCAGCTGTCCCAGCGAACATCGTACCGCCATAAAAAATAGGGGTTGCTGGTAGAAGGGTGAAAATGTAGGGTTGTATGTATTTTTGTATGATGTATCATAAAAAAATAAAAACAAAAAAAATTGTTCAAAAAATAAAATAATTTATATATAAGGGTGGACTACCCTTAACATTTAGGGGGATGAAAAATAGATGTTGTCCGATTCTCAGACCTACTGAATCTATATCCTATATAAAACTCAAAGGTGACTGACTGACATAGTGATATATCAACGCACAGCCCAAACCATTGGACGGATCGGGCTGAAATTTGGTATGCAGGTAGATGTTATGACGTAGGCATCCGCTAAGAAAGAATTTTGATCAATTCTACCCCCAAGGGGATAAAATAGGAAATGAAAGTTTGTATAAAACTTTGTCAATTTTAAACCGATCGGGCTGAGACTTTGCATGCAGGTATAAGAAGAATCATAGATGAGTGTCATTGTGTATAATACAAGCCTGAAAACAAAAACTGTAGTCTACACTTCAGCTCTACACCGAAGCGAAGCGAGAGCGGGCCGCTAGTATGCATATAAAATTTCACGACAATAGAAGAATCTAATATATAGAAGAACTCTATATATTAGATTATTAATATTATTTATAACTTCTTTTGATTAGTCTGTAGGACACAATTAGTTCTGTGCATTTAATTATCATTGGAATAACTATGTTACACATTTTTTGATGAGTTCATTTAGGAGTCTTTCTACAGTGTATGGAGCTGCTCGGTGCTTTATAAAGCACGCAAAGCCTTTGGTTACAACTGCATCTACAGTCATTACTAATCCACATTGAGTCCGCAGGGTAGTTTATAAATAAATAAATAAAAATATTTCCAACACTCACAGCAATTAGCCTAGCCCCAAAGTAAGCACTATAAGGCTTGCGTTATTGTATACTAGGGTAACGGATAGAATACATATACTTTACATATATAGGTATATTTATATAGAAATACATATTAAACATCCATGACTGGAGTACAAATGCTCGTGTTCATCACACAAACATCTGCCTCCACTGGGATTCAAACCTGGGATCTCTCGAGTCGGTGACGCCATGAAACCCGGCGTACAAACCGCTCGGCCACGGAGGTCGACAAAATGTTAAGGTTTATGTTCGTTTCTCCCTTTCTAGGGTTCCGTAGTCATGACAAGGAACCTTTATAGTTTTGTCATGTCCTTCTGTCTGTCCCCGGTTTTGCTTGGAGACTATTAGCACTAGAGATCTGTAATTTTGTGGAGTTTCGAATTACGGAGGAGCTCGAGATAGTAAATTTTTGGTCACCCATCCAATGACCGACCACTGCGAAAGTTGCTTAACTTCAACGATCGCAGCCGAACGCGCTAACCACTTGCGCCATCGAGTTCCTCGTATTTACACGGACGGACGGTCGCTCAATGACGTCTATGCAGTTCTCGTGCAAATAATGCTTACGTTAAAAACAGGAGGAAAAGACATTAATTGGTTCCTAAATTTAGTTACCTACTAACTCCAACTCTAATTGGTAGTTTAAACAAAGACAGTACTAAAATGCAACTTGTCAATGTTTTTCAGTTTTGTGATGTCCTAATGACGTGTTCTGTGGATTATGCATTGACTCAAAATTGTTTTTGTTTTTCACTCCTTATGTATTAAAAGCTTAAGTATTATAGCTATTAACGGGATTGTTACCATGTACCTTGTTTAATACTGCCGTCCTCAAGCTAAAACGCGGCTAAATGACAAAAACAACTTTTGTGATATGGCCAAAAAACTGCACGTAAACTTTAAATTATTGCTATTTTGTAACTATTCATCACATGACGGATTTTTAGACTTAAACTATAAAAGATACGAATACTTGTTATAGACAGATCGATAGAGAATGAAAAACTGTAAACAATGCAATTTAAGACTGAAAAATCGACCATATGTCACTTAGCCGCAGTTTAGTTTGAGAACGGCAGAATATAGTAGTTACTCCGTGATCATGGCGCTTGCAACAGTTGCCTGAGAACAAAAACTGTAGTCTACACTTCAGCTCTACACCGAAGCGAAGCGAGAGCGGGCCGCTAGTATGCATATAAAATTTCACGAAAATAGAAGAATCTAATATATAGAAGAAACTATATTATTATATTAGATTATTATTATTATTTATAACTTCTTTTGATTAGTCTGTAGGACACAATTAGTTTTGTGCATTTAATTATCATTGGAATAACTATGTTACACATTTTTTGATGAGTTCATTTAGGAGTCTTTCTACAGTGTATGGAGCTGCTCGGTGCTTTATAAAGCACGCAAAGCCTTTGGTTACCACTGCATCTACAGTCATTACTAATCCGCATTGAGTCCGCAGGGTGGTTAATACTTGTTATAGACAGATCGATAGAGAATGAAAAACTGTAAACAATGCAATTTAAGACTGAAAAATCGACCACATATCACTTAGCCACAGTTTAGTTTGAGAACGGCAGAATATAGTAGTTACTCCGTGATCATGGCGCTTGCAACAGTGCCGAAATATCGGAGGCTTTATAATAAACTAGCAAACCAGTGAACCAAATGTTCACCAAAACCTGATTTAGAAAAAAAAAATGTATTTAATTAATTGAGAACTTCGGAGATTTTGTGTGGTTTCGTTTGAAATTCGTGATTTCTCGAAAATCGGAAGTGCTACGTTACTAAAATCCGGTTTGTAGTCTTATCAGACTATTCTTAACTTATAATTTAAACATTCTCTTTATCTATCTCTTACGGTTTGGCCGCACTGAAACAGCACCACAGACGGACAATCCCGTTTATTTATTTTTTATTTTTATGTATTTATTTTATTATACAAATACAATCATGCACATACATATTTCAAAACCCATACACAAAAACCTGTTAAGCTTTATGTGTGTATGAGAGCCACTCCTTTACCACTTTATATACTTTCAAGTTGACTGTTTCGTAAGTAATACCTTTTAAATTTATATTT